GCGACGTGCCACTGATCAAGGGCAAAGTGCCTTTGTACTCAAGGGTCCAGTCAGTATTTGCGGCCATCGGGAGAGCAGCTTTCATTTTTCTCAGCACTAGTTGCAAAGCAATGCAGGCAGGCGCCATTCTGCAAGGAAACGGCCGTAACTAATCCTAATAGCTTAAATCAGTACTTTCCCAAGCGAAAGATGGGCTACCCAGAGACATTTCAAAGACTGAGGTGGGAAGTCAAAAGAGACGAGAATCCAAAAGCCATTGCCAGGCTGGCTCCTCATGCACACGTTAACACAGCTAACCTATCTCCTGGGAGAGCAGCGCTGGCTGGCCCCGGCTGAGCGAGGGCACACAAGCCGCATGCAGGGCAGGCATCTGTGCTGTGCCAGGGCAGGCAGCTGGCGGTCAGGACATTGGCATCCCACATCCAGCTCTGCTCCTGGCTGCGGCCTCTGGGAGGCAGCAGTGGTCAGCTTCCTCCACCCAAGTACAGACCTGGCTCAGCCTATCGCAAGGCTGCACTTGGGGCCTACTAGAGAACAGGCAGTCCACCTCAAATTGAAAGAGGTTTGGGCCAGTGCTGTGGTGTAGCCAGCTAATCTTCTGTCCTGTGATGCCAGCATCTTCTGTCCAGTATGGGTGCCAGCTCATGTCCTGACTGCTCCACTTCGCATCCAGCTCTCCACTTGTGGCCTGAGAAGGCAGCAGTAGTCGACCCAGGTCCTTGGGGCCTGCACCCACATGGGTGACCCAGAAGAGGCTCCTGGCTCCTGAGTTTAGCCTAGTCCAGACCTGGATTTGGGGAGCGAACAATGATGGAAGATCTGCGTATCTCCCTTTCTGTGTAAAGTTTTTCAAATAAAATAAATCTTTGAAAAGTGGGAAATGGCTGAATATGGGGAGAGGTTCTGAAGTGCCCAACTCTGCCAGCCCACTGCAGCATTTTCCCTTCTACCAAACCGAAAAACATCTACAGTGAGCTCAGATAATTCACTTCTGCACTTTAAAAAATATTCAAAACATACGTAGATACTAAGAACAGTTAAGAGTACAAATGTGGACCCAGCGCGGTAGCTCAGCAGCTGAAGTCCTCACCTTGAACACGCCAGGATCCCACATGGGTGCCAGTTCTAATCCCGGCCTACCTGCTTCCCATCCAGCTCCCTGCTTGTGGCCTGGGAAAGCAGTAGAAGATGCCCTAGGGCCTTAGGATCCTGAACTCACGTGGGAAACCTGGAGGGGGTTCCTGGCTCCTGGCTTTGGATTGGCGCAGCTCTGGCCATTGCAGCCACTTGGGAAGTAAATTAGCACAAAGGTCTTCCTCTCTGTCTCTCCTCCTCTCTGTATATCTGACTTTGCAATAAAAAATAAATCTTTAATAAAAGAGAGAGGGCCTGGCATGATAGCATAGCAGTTAAAGTCCTCGCCTTGAATGCGCTGGGATCCCATATGGGCGCCAATTCCAATTCCAGCAGCTCCACTTCCCATCCAGTTCTCTGCTTGTGGCCTGGGAAAACAGTCAAAGACAGTCCAAAGCTTTGGGATCCTGCACCCGTGTGGGAGACCCAGAAACTCCTGGCTTCAGATTGGCTCAGCTCCAGCCACAGCAGCCGCTTGGGGAGTGAATCATCAACAGAAGGTCCTCCTCTCTGTAGATCTGCCTTTCCAAAAAATAAATCTTAAAAAAAAAAAAAGTACCAATGGGCAGCATGAGAACACAGGACTGAGGAGAAGCATGGTTATAAATGAGACTTCAAGGACATGGAGTTTTACTAGAAAACAGAGATGGTGGCGGGCGTGTACTGAAGGCCCAAGGCCCACACTGGCATCCCACGCCCAGCTCAGGCTCCTGGCTTTGTACTAGCAGAGCCTGGGAAGCAGTTAGGAGGGATCAACTGCGCTCCTGCCACCTTTGTGGGCAAGCTGGGCTGCATTCCTGGAGCCCAGGCTCGGTGTGGCTTGGTCGGGTCAGGCCCCAGTCGCTGCAAACATCTGGATGTGATCCAACACATGGTATTGTCTCTGCCGGGGTGTTTTTTCTTTCAGGTAAATATGGCAAAACCAACATTTTAAACCCGAAACAGTCTGTGGATGTGACACAGAGGCTTTGTGAATGTTTCAAAATTCAAAAATGTTTTAAATAAACATATGGACACATTTATGAACTGGGAATCCCAGACATCTGAGAACTAAACTCATTTACAGAGAAAATGTCTAGAATAAAACCTGCGATGCGCCAGCACACGTGTGCTCTGAAAGAAACGCTGGTGCGCGCACGCACACACACACACACACACGCACACACGCACGCACACACACACGCACGCACACGCACACACACACACGCACGCACACACACGCACACGCGCGCACACACACGCACACACGCACACACACACGCGTGCGCGCACACACACGCGCACACACACACACGCACACACACACACGCACACACACACACACACACACACGAGATGGCTCAGCTCCAGCATGGTGACCAGCTAGTAACAGTGTAATATGCATCCGAAATTCGCTAAAAATCTTTCTTAACTGAAAAGTTACACGAGGTAACGGATGTCAATTTGCTCGACTGTGACAATCCTCTCACAACAAATTCCAAAAAATCACACTGTATACCTTAAATATATGCGATTTGGCTAATTGTATGCAAATGGTGGTTGTTTTTTTTTTTTGAAGATTTATTTATTTTTATTGCAAAGTCAGATACATACAGAGAGGAGGAGAGACAGAGAAGCGTCTTCCGTCTGATGATTTACTCCCCAAGTGACCATAACGGCCGGTGCTTTGCCAATTAGAACACAGGAGCCCAGATTCTCTCCAGGGTCTCCCATCTGGGCACAAGGTCCCAAAGCTTTGGGCCTCCAACTGCTTTCCCAGGCCACAGGAAGGGAGCTGGATGGGAAAGCACAGCTGTCAGGATTAGAACCAGCGCCAACAAGCACGTTCAAAGCAAGGATTTTAGCCACGAGGCCACCATGCCAGGCCTGGTCGTTTAATTTCTAAGATGCAAGATATGTAAAAATTTCTACAATGCTACAAACTAACAAAATTATTGGCCACATTTATTGCACTGAGCAATCTATATTCCAAAATTACATTCCTAATTATTGTGAAGCAGGAACCACCTGGTAGTTGCCACGGTAACGCGGCCGTCTAAGTCTCTGCTCGCAGTGCTGGCATACCACAGGTCCATTCATGTCCTGGCTGCCCCACTCCCGACCCAGCTTCCCAGCAGCAGGAGCGCACAGCTCCCGTCCTCTGGCCCAGGCACCCACATGGGGAACAGAGAGGAAGCTCCTGACTTCGGATCGGCTCAGGTGCCGGCCCTCAGTCATGTGGGAAATCCGCCAGCAAATGCAAGCTCGCTCTCCTCTGTTTAACTCTGCTTTTCAAGTAGATCTTAAAAAATCTCTCATGGGCCAGAGTATACAGAAAAAAAAATGATCACATTTCTACATAGGAAAGCAAGATCTATGTGTAGAAAAATGTTAAGACACCACGCATGTAAACACTGCCAAACCCAGCAACGCCAGAGGGCTTCACACCCATCTGAGCCCTAAGAGGTATGCTTGGGAAAACAGATATTGAACACGACTTCGCATAAGGATCCAAATGAAAACCTGAAAAAGCAATTCAGAAAGAGGAAAAGATGAAGCATGCTGAACAGACAATAAGCAGGGCAGTGACAGCCTGGCCAAGGATTCCTGGAGAATGGCCAAGCTAAAATGAGAGCAGCAGAAATGCACACGGCCCCTAGAGCAGTGGCTTGCAGCCGCAGCACTCGGCACTGGGCACTCGGCACTCAGCACCCGCTGCTCCGCCTCTGGTCCAGCTTGCTGCTGATGTGCTCACACAGCACACCAATCCAAGTTCTTGTGTTTGTCACTGGGCTTCACCCTGTCCCACTGTTTGGACGAGTGTTCTCCCTAACTCCGCCTTGCAAAAAGTAGACTTAAAAAAAAAAAAAATGGTAAAATGGGTGGGCTGAGGTGTACAGCAGCACAACAGCCGAGACGGGTGTACAGCACAACAGCAGATGGGTGGGTTGGGGTGTATAGCAGCACAACAGCAGATGGGTGGGTTGGGGTGTACAGCAGCAGCACAACAGCCCAGACGGGTGTACAGCACAACAGCACAACAGCAGATGGGTGGGCTGGGGTGTACAGCACAACAACAGCAGATAGGTGGGTTGGGGTGTTCAGCAGCACAACAGCAGAGCAGATGAAGAGTCCATGGAATCTGAGGAAATCAGAAGGAAATCAACCAACATGGGTTTCTTTGCTGCCCGATTTCCAAGGGATTCCTAGTGAGAAGACAAGTAATCTTACTTGACCCCAAGACCCTCCTTTTTTCACAGAAAAAAAATATCTTAGGCAACACTAGACTTTTGGGTTTTTGGTTTAAGATTTATTTTTCTGCAGTTGTAAGGTGAGGATTTAGCCACTAGGCCATCGCATCGGGCCCACACTGGACTTCTAATAAATAATGAAAACAAGCAGCAAAGGAGTTGAATGCCATGTCAAGCCTTGCCTTGGTCCCCAGACCAGGCTCACAGGATGACGTCCACCCTGACACGTAACTGGACACACACGCTGCCGCCGTCTCATTCACGCAGTGACAGCCCCGCCCCAGTTCTCCAAGAGCAGCTGACTGGTAGCAGTTGCTAGGTGTGAAGTCCTGACGGTGTGGCAGGAAGGCTTTCCGAGCCTGCCTCCTTTTGAAGTCCCCTGACAAACAGGAAGCCATGGAGGAGTGTTTGAAAACCTGGCACGGGGGCCAGCACCAAGGCAAACTGGTTAAACCTTCGCTTGCGGCACCAGCATCATACACGCTTGCCAGTTCGCGGCCCAGCTGGTCTACTTCTGTTCCAGCTGCCTGCTAACTGCCTGGGCACGTGGCAGAGGACACTCAGGCCTGCACCCACACCCGAGACAGCTCCAGGTTTCAGATCAGGCCAGCTCGCCCACTGCATCCATCTGGGGAGTGAGCCAGCAGGTGGAATCTATCTAGTTGTAAAGTTGTTTTATAAAAATAAAGAAACAGAAATACATCACATTATGTGGCAATTTTCTGCAAATTACAGGCAACAATGATGTCACTTCCTGTAACTGTGGTACAGAAACACCTGATTCAAGTGCAGGTTATGTTCGACAAACTCGTCCATTACATGTACTGTGGTGACTGCTACGTTCTGGGCTGAAAATCAGTGTTATTTCTTCCTTGCTGATAGCTACTATGTTTGAAAACAGAACTAGAGGAGATAGTTTAAAAATCTAAACAAGAAAACTAATGAGAAGCCAAGGCAACCACAGCTGGGTAGTCTGAGCAAAGACCCTCAGGCACCGATGAGGGAGAGCGGGCTTCCGGGGGGAGGGGCAGATTCACTCTACCATCCAGAGACGAGGAAAAAAAGGCCCCACAAAACTTCACACACAGCTCTCAACATCACTTTCATTTGGGCACCTCTGATACTATATTCTCTTCTGGTTATACAATGTTTACAAACCAAGCTGTGACAACCACACCCTCAGTCAGGCCCAGCTAGCACATGACTTAGCACCCCGGGGCGGGGCTCCCAGCTGGCCGCCCTGGCCCCTGATAGACAGCAGGGTGTGTGAGCAGCCATGTGAGGACATGCTTCGCAGCCCAGGCACCCGAGCTCAGCACTACCACTCTGGCACGAGGCAAGCTGGCAGCGAGGAGGCCCCCAAAGGCCGCCACAGCCTGCATCCGTCCAGCGCACAACTGCAGTGGCTCAGAGAGCTCACTGGCCCACTGGGGAGGCACAGAGCGAACAGCCCAACTCCAGCAGAGCTGGCCTCCAGGGCTAACGGCCCGCATTCGTCAGAGTGCACACAGAGTGGACTTAGAGGCAAGATGTCACCCTCAACGTGCCCTTGGCGGAGGCAGCTTTGCTTTACAGAGCCTTTCAAGTAGAAAATTACATTAATTACCAGCATTTAAAAACATCCAATATTTGAGGGTTCTGAATTCTGATTTATTAGCAAGGAAATAACACATTTAGAGTATTACAAAAAAGAACTCAAAGTACTTATAAACGCTAACTGGGCTTAAGGGGGTGGGGGGAGGCAGGGCAATTCTTCCAACTACTTCCTAGGGCCTCTGCATCGTGTTAGAGCTGAGACAGAAAAACCCACAAAACACATGTCCACAAAGACTACAAGGCATCCCTGAGGGGATGGGGAAAGCCTGCATGCGTGGAAAAGCAAAGCAGGCGGTGATTAGGTGGACCTGCAATGAAGAAAACACACTCCAAAACATGGGGTCAGACTTCCACTAAGTTTCCACTCAGTGAAGGAGCCTTCTCTGAATCAATGTGTCCCAAACACATCATGGAGAAAACAAACCTCAGTGCAGTCCCAGCTCCATCCCGAGACAGCCATCTACAAATAACAAACCGAAGAATAAAAAGTCTGACAACAGCAAACATCCTGGGAACCACCTGGAGCAGGCCAAGCCGAGTTCATGCTCGGCTCCAGCGAATTACACCGAAATCTCATTCCCACTGCCATTTCTTTTCTTTTTAACCTTAATCACCAGTGGCTGGGCAACTGAAATGGACATGAGAAGTATATAAATGTCAGAGAAATATGCAAACCTCATTAATGTTTCCAAAAATTCATTTAGAGATAGAAACAGGTCCAAATAGATGCCTGTCTAAATGTACTGCAATTACGTTACAATTATTTTTCCAAATACACAGAGATGCTCTGTCTTTTCTCAGCTCATTACTGACTCAAACAATTTGCCCTTCTGGGATCAATTGTTTGCTAATAAATAATTGTTTACAGTCACAAAATGATGTTAGGAGGTTTTCTTATTAGTTTTCCTTCTGCACCCTAATAAGATTGAAAACTAGCTGATTCCCAGGAGTCTAACCTTAACCTCGCTTTGTTCAACAGCCCAGGAAATGATGAACCATCTGCTTGAGAAAATCCCGGCCGGCCAGAGGAAGCACTGTTTAATTGTAGATTAACCTCCTCGGGAGGCGGTCTGAAGCAGCTTCAGAATTAGCAACTAACCAGTAAAAGAAACAAACGGCTCAGGAGCCTTTTCCTCAACCATTTCAGCTCCAGAAAAAAATGCAAAGGGATTTTTATTACCCATATTTACAAACATTTATTTTCCACAATAGAAACAAAACTCAGTCCAAACGGGTTCCCACAGGCGCGGTCGCTGGCCTCCCACTGCCCAGATCCCCCGGCCGCAGCAAGCCGTCAGACATCTCATGCACTAAAGGAGAGTGTTCCATTGAAAAAATGGTTAAAAGAAAAACCCCTCTTTTCCATTATCTTCAGGTTCTTAAAATATTAATGTTTCCCTGGTATCTTTGTTAATAGTAATAAATCCACCACTGGGGAGTACGAATTGTTTTATAATCATCATCAACATGGCACTTAAGTAAACGAAATCTTGTCAAGTACAGGGTGACCTACAAGTTCAAAAGAAAAAGAGAAGAGGGTAAGATCAAAATGGCTGACCAGGACAAGAGGTACAAAAGTGACAAATCAATGCAAACACAGTTCTTTATCCAACAAGTTTCACATGCTAAGACTTTTCTAAAGCTAAACCTGTCGAAACACATATAATATTGAAAACTTAATATTCCTCTCTTTCTCAGCTGAACTGATTTAGCAAGGTTATCACAGCCATTTGAACTCAGAAAAGCACAGGGATTCTGAGGGCATTCAGTGACGTCACAACTACTTACCCAGACTGTCCTGACTGTCCTGCAGGGCCTGGGGAAGGGGCGGGGGCAGGCTCCACTGGCACAAAGGCACTTGGGGAACGCTTTCTGGCTGGCTTAAGCTCAAGGCTGGTGGGGGTATTGTAAGGAAAACGCTTTGCCACTTGGTGTCCAGAAAAGGGTTCCTTCTCGCTCTCGCTCAACAATTACAACCAAGAACCAAAGACATCTACAAAAATGCCCACACTAAGGAGACCTGCTCTTCCAGGCAAAGTCATTCTACTCTGGGTTTTCAGTAAGACCTGAGGGTCACTCCCTCTGTGTAAATATTAAGGAAACAATCTTTATAGAGAGGAAAAAAATTTAGCAGTTCAAATTCTTAAATAGAATTTGCTAAAATATTCTTGAATTCTTCAACTTAATTTTGATGCAATGAGCTAGTAATAACTCCAGAGACTCAAATAATAGAGCCTATTCAAGAAGAATGAGAGTTTGACATTCTTCTCTACAAAACAACTACACACAATTTTATCCATCAGACGTCTATCAACCTGCGGATATTGAAAGCTTGGGAGAACAAGATAAAATCAACTCCAGCCCTACAGTCAGCTGTCATATCAAGCAGGCATCAACAATGCTATTCATGAATTTAGAAAAATTAATAAATACTGGGTTGAATGCAAGAAAAGGCTCAAACCCAGGTGAAGCACACTCACTTGGGCTTCGTCTCTGCATCTGTCACTTGGCGAATGAAGATACCATCTTCAGGATGCTCCGTGTCGTCCATTTCATACATATAGGATGACGCTATTGCAAGCGTGGTCCCGTCATTACTGAAGGCAAGTGACGCGATGCTGGTGGGGTACCGATGGAACTGGCACAGCCGCTTTTTGTTAAATGGGTCCCAGATATTTACAAATCCATCAGAACCACCTACAAGTAATTTCAAAATATTGAAAATAACTTTTAATACCAGATATCAAAAATACTCATTATCTTAATTTGGCTAAGGTCACAGGACGATTTCTGCCTCACTACCAGAAAAAGAAAAGCACAATCAAAAAAAAAAAACAACTGCTTGAGCAGAAAACATTCAATTAATTTAAGCAATCCTGTTAGCTTAATGATCACACACAGACCCAGGTGAGCGAGGTACTTACCTGTGGCAAATGTATTGTGAACACTGTGAAAGGAGATGGCGTTGACAGGGTAGATCTGCTCAATGTTGTTCTCTCTCAGCCTGTGGCACTTGAAGGCGTACTTCTTCTTCTGCACCTCAGGGCTGGGGTCCAGGTACTCAACGGCCACTCGGCCTTCAATGGAGCTTAGCACATAGCCCTGACACGGGACACCGGGACAGCATGAGCAGCCAGCTCTCAAAAACAAAGCAGTAATCCCCAAAGTCACCCCACATGGAAAAAAGGCAACTCTTACAGAAGAAAAAAGCACAACCAATGTCAACAAGGGCTTTAAACCACAGTAAGCCAGCTACAGCGTGCTACCGTACCTGTGCCCACAAACACCCAGCACCTCACTGCAGTCACACGTCTTCATTCTGAAAAAACCTCAACAAGAACTTTCATGTGTTTCACTGCCATCTGTTTGTTGTCCTGTCTCGACTTAAATGTGCTCCTTCAATTAAAATCTGCGCTCCCACCGGCCATGCATGCCTCCTTGGTTTTGAACTGCAGGAACTGTGCTGCCGGCGCTGGGGGCACCAACAACCCACCCAACTGCAACCCCAGTCCTCCTCCCAGCCGCCCCCGGCAGGTCAGCTTTGCAGACAGCGGACTCAGAAAGGCTCAGAAGAGCCTCACACTGTCCAACTGTTCTCATCTTTCCTTGAGATGACAACATACTGGAAAAAGTAACAGCTAATAAAACCAAATATGGGATCTGCTTTGCATCTTATTTTTAAAAGTCCTGCATGGAACCAAAGATTTATTTCCTAAACAATGCTTGCGAGGGGAAAAAAAAATGCAACGAAATCATATTTTAACTTCCAAAACAGGTGCAAGCAGCTTTCCAAACAAAACTGAGACATTAAGAATTGAAAGCAATGTTGTTAATGCAAGCATATTTTTAACATGTAGTTTAATTCCTAAAGTTTCAAATCACTTCAATTCTTATCTTCAATGAAAACTGATAATTTCCTGGAAAAAGAGCTATATTCATCATTTGCAGACACATCAATGTAATAATTAATAAACTGCTCAGGGTCACAGCCACTATAGAACCACCTTCCAGCCACGGACTCCGGAATGCCCACTGCGGCTGCCCACGCACACAGCTGCGGAGGACTGGCAGGGGTCCCTGATGAAGAGGCTGGTCTCATTTAGTGATGATGACAGAGGGAGACCCACCCTGCACATCAAAAGCTTGTCATCAGTCATCACAAAAGGGCACGGCTTCGCCACCCTCACCCGCAGTCCTTTTCAAAAGAATTAAAGTTCTAAGGTCACACCAGGTGAAGAATTTGATCAGCACTAGGGTCACAAAAAGCAGAGAGAACAGATTCCATAAACCTGAATTTCAAGCTTGAAGCTTTAATTCACTGGTTTTTAAGCTGAAATACTTTCAAAACTCTTTGATTATGGTATACCTTTCAAGCATCCCAAACTAGGAACAATCAACAATATCAAAAGATGTGCCTGGTGGGTGAGCTGCGAGACCTACCCTCTCTGGCATGAAGATCACCTCTAAAAGGGGCATTAACACACTAACTTGTAACACAAGGCTGTCAAAGATTAGAGGCCACCTAACAGCAAATGCTAAATCATTACCCCCCAAACACAAGACTTAAAGGAAACAGTTTAGTGATTATTACACTATCTTGTAACTTCACCGAGCAGCACAGTGGGGGAGGGCACAGTGGGGAAGGGGGAGGGGAGAGGGGCAGCACCTGCTTGTTGGGGAAGGCGCGGATGCAGCGCGTCTGGTACTTGAGGCTGGACTCCCTGCGCTGCTGCACGTAGCCCATGTTGCGCAGGTCCCACACCAGCACCCTGCGGCCCGCCGTGCCCACGATCAGCCGGTCTCCAGACACAGAGAGCGTGTAGACCTTGCAAGAGAAACCGAAACTTGCTAAACATCCACTTGCCTGAAAACGGGATTTTTCCCTCAAAATAAATCCACTACTCACAAAACCGTAAGTTAGAACGACAGATGCCCAAACACAGGTACCAGCTGCAGCCACCAGTTATCCAAACCACGTCACTGACGCGAAGCAGCAAACCCTAGATATTCATAATGTTTCAACTTATCATAAAACTGGTCATGTGAATGTATTTTCGAAGGCCTAATCCTCATTACTAAAATGAAATTCTTCCAGCCATACTTCAGATTAGGACAAAACCAAATTCAACACCACTATTCAAAAACGGTAAAATAGAGGCACAAAATTATTCAATGTACCTTTCAATAATAAAGCAATAACTTGATTTTCTATAACCATTTTTCAGAAGGAGGTATCATTTTACTGCTTTTTAAAAATCTTCATTTTTTTTTCCCCCAGCTGCAGCACTGACTAAACAGGCCTGACCAGTAAGAGGAAAACAGCTGTCCGCCGAGCCGCAGGACAAGGACGACGCTCGGGCACAAGGCAAAGCTGTCACACTAAACATGCAAGACACAAGTTCTCCTCCAAGGAAAATTTCAAAAAGCATTTTATCCGTTGTTAACTGCTTACCCCTCCCCTATAACACCTTTAAACACTAAATCTGCGCAAACATTCCTTTACAGTTCACAAGAGAACTTCTTACTAGCATATAGTTAGTGACCTATTTGCAAATATAATGCTACTGGAGGCCTAGCAGAGGAAGCAAATTCCAGAAAATAAAAAATCTTACTGATCATGTTTAATAATTTTTAAGTCTAGAGTTCAGATCCTTAAATGTGATTATTATTCTTAATTTTCATCTCATCTGACATAATTATTTCCAAACCTCAAGAATTGCTATAAAAAATTTAGAGGCCCCAAGCCATCGCTTTTTAACACTGAGCTATGAAACCACATGGTTAATAATCATGAGAATGCTAACTGCAGACCAGCAGCCCAACAATCAAATCAGGCAGATAATGCAATGCGGCAGTACACCGCGTCACCGCCTCAAACTCAACAACAACGCAGCCGAAGGCAAACAAACAGCAGACATAAGCAGATTTAAATTAAAAATACAACACAAAATCATGGCTTAGTCAGAAAAGAAAGTGTTTACAAAGTGAAAATTAATGTAAAATATATAAAGTATCAACCTTTAAAAATACAGAACCCCAAAGCCCATCAATTTATAATGGTACAATTGTTCCCGGGGCTTTTCCCGCAGCCCGGACTGCACAGGTGACGCGGCTCGGAGGACTCTCCCACCCGGGGCCGTAAATCAAGCGAACCCACTGTCAGGCCAGTGACTGCGTCTATACATTTATCAAAAAAAGTATTAAAAAAAGTGACATAATGAACCTTGCTGAACCAATAAGCAGCTTGATTCAGTGTGGCTGTCCATTATATGATACTCTGTCAGCCATTTATCACAGTTCTTAACATGTTACATACAATCATAAATCAAAACTAGAAACAATGCAATTATTTTATTCTGAACAAAGGTCTTGCCAGTAGAAGATTCAACTGTGATGTGACAAAAATAATGGCTCTTTGGATGCACTCCTGTATATAATGACGGCTAGCAGGAATTGAATAGTATATTTACACCAAGGAAATAGACTCAAGTGAAAGATACCTTTAAACTGCTAAAGCAATCAATCATGAAAATTAACTACCGCCTGGTAAAGGTCTGATGAGAACACAGCAAGAATGCTCAATTACATTTTCATCTTACAGATCAAAAGGTTAAAATAATATACAAAGTTAGGGTTTTTTAAAAGCTTCATTCCCTAAGCCTTCAAACTACATCTGTTAATATTTTTTAAAAGCAACACACACACAGTAAAAGCCAGGTAACACACAACACAACCTTCCCATTAGAACTAGAACCCACTTGCTTTCCAGTCAATTCAAAGGAAACCTCAGGTCACGAATGGCAATGGGTGATGCTCTGTCCCATTTCACACCCAAGTGAAAACCAAAAGCGCTTGCTCAATGACTTCTCTAAAAAGCCAGTGTGCAGCCCTTAGTGCCCGGATGGAAAGCAGCAACAACCTAGGGGAGCAACTTCAGGTAAGCTATCACCCTGCAGGACCGTAACAAACACTCCCCAAAACTTATTCAACTCCAAACGCAGCTAACTTTATAAATTCTCCACCTCGAAATCTGAACATTCATGAAATACACATTAAGGCAAAACAGCCCAAACACCCCCGTCCAGCACAAGACCCACCTTCTCAGGCTGAGAAAAGGTCCCAGCATTGCACGGCGTTCTCGGATCCCACAGTTTAACCGTCTGATCCCAACTTCCGGTAACCATCACATTCACTTCCGGACAGTACTCAACACATCTGATGGGCGCGTCGTGGGTTCCCACAAGATTTTCTATAAAGAACGGGGGTAGGTGACATCAACAGCTAGTTTTACTACCTGAATTTTACCCAGGCAACTAACCAAGATTCCTCAAATGAATAATTAAAAGAAACGGTCAATCGCCATGAATCCGCTTTAACTTCACGGGAAAGAAGGAAGCCAAGGGCCCAGCCCTCTGTGCCCCCACGGCTCGGCTCACTGGCACCCTCAACCCACGGCGGCACCACCTGCTCACGGAACCCGTACAGATCGCTGTGCCTCTGCCGTGTCCAGGGCAGCGGCTGGTGTATAGGAAATGCTTACCACCTGCTAACGAACAAACGCTCACTTGGAGCCCCGTCCCCACGCCACGTACCCGGCCACCGCAACAGTAGGCCAATGCTGCAAAGACACTTCTTCGCATCTTTACAACACTGTGAAAGCTCAGAGCTCCAGCGGCGCCATTGGTTAGCACGGGACTTTATACAACACGGCACAAACTGGAGGTGAAGGCTTTCACACACAGGGTTTTCACAGCGAGTCAAATTTCCAACACTAAGTTACTTTCAATCTCAACCTTTAAGCCATACCCCTGATGACTTCAGTACCTACGAAGCACCTACCACGTGCCAGAATTGATGTCACCTGCTGAACATACAAGAATGAACAACAGGTGACCTTGACTCAAACAGGAACATTATCTTATAAAAAAAATAGTACAGATGTACTTCACATTTCTTCATTTTTTATAGTATTTCATCAAGTTTAGCAATAATCCTCAGAGAACAGCCAATCTCTTAGTTAACAGTCCATAACTATAACGTGACTGAAAATCTTTTAACTGCTTTTCAGAGTTTTTCCCTAAGTTTTCAAGAAAACAGGTCTTAACCACCAAATCAACTTACCAGATATACTATTGACAGATAAAATCAAATGCCTAACAAGGTGACTTTCATACCAAAATCTCTCATGATGGGTACTTGTTTTGGACAAATACCCATCTGGGCCAGGCATGGTAGCCTAGTGGCTAAAGTTCTCTCCTTGCATGCACCAGGATCCCATACAGGGGCTGGTTTATGTTCCAGCTGCCCCGTTTCCCATGCAGCTCCCTGCTTAGGGCCTGGGAAAGCAGCGGCCCATAGCTCTGGGACCCTGCAGCCACGTGGGAGACCCAGAGGAGAAGCCTCGCTCCTGGCCTCCGATTGGTTCAGCCCGGCTGTACGAGTTAACCAGCAGATGGAAGATCTCTCTGTTCTCTCTAAATCTGACTTTCTAAGAAAAATAACTCTTTTTAAAAAAGTGCCCACCTTCCAATCTCTCGTTACTGCCAACTCATCCCTCTAGTTCTACCTCCGTGCCCTCCGGCTCCTTCAAGGGCACCTGTGTCCAATAAACTAAGCAAATTAAGCTCTCCACTAGCCAATTCCCTGCCCTTGGTTTCCATTCGGACAAGTCTGCCCCAATGTCACCTTAAAAATCTAGGTAACTTGTCTCAAGTTCACTATGTGAAAGAAAATGTTTCATCTCATTTTTCACTCAATAAACACAAATAAAATACACTGTCCTAAGTAACTACGTAAATAGGTTAGCAAACATGTCTTAATGTCTTATAACAAAAACCTATCTATCTTCAGTTTAAGCAGAATCAGCTCCTAAAAAAGGCAGTTCTGAAACCTCACCACCATCCTGGAAATCAGAACCAAGGACACCTGCCACCCAGGAACACCGGGATTGGCGTCATGCTGAGTTCACTGCAAAAACAAGCACTTCTATGAGAACCGCGTGGTTGCACCTGACAACATCCCTGTGGCAGGCCACTCCACCTGCACCTACAACTCGGGCACTCACTCCTCCCAACACAGACTCGGCTCCTACACAAAGCAGCGCCGCGCGGCCACAGTACCTTGATCAGTGTTCAAATCATGCATCTTCAGCTGGTGATCTAACCCCCCGCTCCAGGCATGGGTCGGGTCCTACAAAAACAAAGTTCCAAACCATTTAAAACTGACGACCACCACCGGGGCGCTCATTTCCCACACCGCCCGCCCCAAGTCTTCAATGTGAGCAAACAAGCTAAAAACTGTGCTCAAACCCTAAAACCAAGAAACTATGCGTTGCTTGATCCTATTAATCACTCTTCCTGGGAGCGTTCTGAACTTGAGCTCAGTCCCACCCTGCCCTCCGCAGGCTGCACCTGCCAGGGTCACCTACGTAGAAGGCGCAGTCCAGCACGGCGCCCGTGTGCTGGTACTTGAGCCGCATGGAGTTGGCGGGCACGTCGTAGAGGCGCACCGACGTGTCCCAGGACGAGACCAGCAGGAACTGGGAGGTGTTGGGACTGAACTTGACCGAGGAGATGCCATCCTCGGGCGGCTGGTTGAGCTTGAACTCGTTGGACCCGGTCATCTGCGGAACACGCGGCGGTCAGGCCCAGCCCCGCCCCCGCCCGGCCGCCCCCGCCCGGCCGCCCAGCCAGGTGGATTCCTGGGGGTACACTCGCATTCCTGGGGCGCCGGGAGCCCGCGCCGCACCCCACCCCGCACGAGGGCCCGCTGCGCCCTGCCCTCTCACACCCCAACCGCAGGCCTCGCCGAGCCCGCCGCCAGGGCCCCCAGCCCGGCGTCCTTCTCCCTGCCCCCGAGCCCGAGCGCGGTGGCTCCGCAAGCAGGATGCGCCCGAGCGGCGCTCTCCGCCCGCTGCGGGCCTCCGGGAGCGCCCGAGAGCCCGCTTCTCCCGCCGCCTACCGCGGATTCCTTCCCGCACCGACGCCGCCGCCGCCGCCGCCTACTCGCTGCCCTCGGCGCGCTCGCGGGCCGAGCGAAGGGGGCGGGAAGAAGCCTCGGAGCCGACCGCCTATTGGCTGATTTCAAACGCCAACGTCTCGGGCCAGGCAGACGATTGGTCCGCTCCGCCGCGGGCGTCGGTCGACGCAGTCATCCTGTTCCGGCTCAAAGGGAAACCGCGGCTTTTCCGATCACGTGGCCTCGCTGTACCGGCTTCCCGCTCGGAGGGTTCCGGGCGCCTGTACTTTTAGGGAAAACTACAATACCCACTGAGCATCGCGCCAAGACTTTGTGGACGCCCGCGTACGCCCATCTGCAGCATTCTGGGAGTTGTAATCACTCCCAGCGGACCCTCTGCTTAAGCCCTGAAGCGCAGGCGGGAGAGACCCTGACTTCAGGTTCGCTGCCTCCTTTCTCTAGACGTAGGAATCCCACTATGGTAGACACTCCTGTGGAATTAAATTACTCGCCCATATGCTAGACGCATCCACACCCGTAAACTAACCAAGTCTACGGCGGGGACTCGGGTGCTGTAGTCAGCGACACTCCTTGGCCCTGATTCTTGGGATCCTGGACGTGCCCCCTAGGATCCGGGTCTCAGATTTTCCACTAACTTCTGCTGGTCTCCTCAGAATCCACGTGAATTCGGCCCCGTCCCCACGCACCTGCTGAGCCTCCGCCAGGCCTGAGGAAAGCTCTGGTCAGACCGCCCTGCCCTCCGGGCGCCCCGGGCCGCAGGACTGCGGGACCGGGAAACACGGGCTTCTCGCGGGGTCCTGGGCTCTGCCACGCCCTGCCCACCCGCGCCCCTAACCCTCCCTGCCCTGAGCTGCGGGTTCTCCCTGCTCCGCTTCCAGACGCCTTCAGAAATGAGAGGTTCTAAGGGCGCCTAGGAAACAAGAAGCGATTCTGTCTCCAGGAGAGGAAACAGTGACGGAGGAGAACCAGCTCCGAGTTGGCCTTGAACCTCCTCGATTGGCATTTTTTCAGCTCAGCCCAGCCATAATCTATTTTTCTGCTGCCTTTTGTAAAGATAAGTTCCAGCTTTGCCATGTGAGTTTGTGTGAAGTGGGAGGGCAAAGTGTCTGTAAGCGCAGTGCAGAGCCTGCTGAGCGGGGCGCGGCCACGCACCCGGAGCCCGCGCTGCTCCCGCGGCGCCACCACCTTCCGCCTGCTGTTCTTGCCCTCTGCCTTCCTCCCCAGCCCGCACACTTGGTTCTCCATCTCTTTCAAAAAAAAACTTAACGGCCAAGTTCAAAATTCAAAAGCGCACCGCCTTATAGCCTTAATTCCATCCTAACTTTAGCTCCATAATTTTATCTCCTGACTTATTTGGTTCCCTCTCTCCGTTGTTTATTTAATCCTATTAGTGTTTCAAGATTCGGAGCATGAATTACCCACTAATAAAATCTAAGTGTATTTTATTAGCCAGTGTGTGTATGAATCAGGTCCCTCTGGGCACGCAGCAAAGCCCGACTCCATTTGAGTTTGAAGAAACGTCAATCTTTGAAATCCAGTTTAGAGCCCGAAAGCAGGCTGATGATCTTTGCTGATTATTCAAATGAATTGATAGTCTTGAGATAGGAAATCTGGCAACATTGTGGTCTTGGTCAACATTTGAAACCCAAGTGCAGAGTCTGTGCGCGCGCATACACGCACAATATCTAGTTATCTGTAAGAGAAGAATTCCTGTAACTAACTGACACTGCTGGTTTCTGGATTAGTAAATAATAATATTAATAATATACACAAATGTTGATACCTGGAAGAGCCATGTCCTAAACTAAGGGCAAATTCACTCAGGCATTTAAGTACCTCAGTGGCCAAAAGAAACCATGTCCTATTTAAAAAAAAGAGAGAGAGAGAGAGAATCGCCCAACACTGTTAAAACCATCATCTCTTGCAAAAACAAAACAAAACAAAACAAAATCTGCCATGTATTGAACGCCAGACAAGTGACACGGATGGAATGTCCCTGTGCCCGCAATTGCTCGGAAGCAATTTGATCGTGTCTGCAGGAAATATTCAAATAGCAAAGTTAGAGGGAAAATCATGGAAAGGGGGTCATGTGGAGAGAGAACTGAAATCAAATGTGTGTCCACACTCAGAGGAACCGGGCCCAGCGCCCCTGCGCTGCTGCCTCCCGCCGCCCAGCCCTTCGCTTCCTTTCTCACAGGGCTCTGCTCTCGGTAAATATTTTTTGGCGTGAACTCAGTTGAAATGAAATAAACACAACTGAACCCACCTAGTGTTCCTGGGTACCATCCCTCTGACGTCACTTTGAAATTGACTGTGATCTTTATGAAATGTAACGTAAGAAAGAGGGGGAAAAACTCAATTTTTTTTTTAGTCAGGCACTTCACAAGTGACACTGAAGATGACTTAAACGTTTACAGATATTTGGTTAGATTTTTTTTTTCAGATAATGCAACAATTTCGATGTCTCTTCCTTCATAAAGAAATCACCACAAGCGATTGTTTCTGGAGGAGGGGAGCCTGCCCGAGCCCTGCGGGGCCTCCTGGCTCCTGGCGCCGCCTGGGATCAGGGCTAGGACCACGAAGTGTTGACCCTGCGACCTGCACCGACGTTTCACACGGAACAGGTGGCTGCCATCTGAGCTGAAGGACTGTTGGGCAATTTGCATGGCTCCGTGGGAGCTATTCTCTGCACGCAGCGCCCTGCCAGCCCCGACGCTGCACCACGGCAGGTGTCCGAGCGCCGAAGTCCGTGGGCCACCCCGCCGCGCGCCACGACGCCTTTCAGATCCAGCGGCCCAATGCTGATCCGCGATCCAGCCATTTAGCCACTCACAATGCAAACAATTAACGAAAACAAACGAGTATGGTTCAGAAGAGCTTGTGCCTCCTGCTCTCTCTCGGCATGGCATTGGGACTGGGAACCCTCTTGGGCCGAAAAGAGTGCAGTTGCCGCACAGGGCAGGACGCGTGACTGTAGCACCGGCTGCCAGCCGATCTCGCCAGAGTCGCAGCGAGCCGACGCGAGGGGATCCTTGACTAGATGGCAGCCAGCGCCCTCCTTGGTCCTGCGCCCTCGGAGAGGAGATGCACCCCGCAGCCAGGGCCACGTCCCGCGACGCCCGTCTCGGCCAAGCCCAAGACGATCCCGGCGCTGGGAAGATGCCGCACGGGGACTCCCCTTCCCTTCCGCTGGTTCGGGGAGACAGTCGCGGCGGAGGCGAGGCCTGCCTACCCGTCTTTGTGTGTCTGGGAGCGGGCTCCTGGCGGGGGCTGGGGAAATGGCTGGACTCCAGCCGGGCACGGACCAGCCCGTGCCCCGGGTTAGGGGCGCCTATAACGGGGAGAAAAGAAATGAAGCTCCAGCCACTCGTAGCCTGGGCGGCGCCAAGGTCGCGACCTTCAACTCTTGGTCCCGGCCCCACCCTGCACGTGCTTCCAACCAGAAGCCTGCCAGGCTTTCCAAGGAAAAAAAGAGAGAGAGAGAAACCCGCACGCGCCTTAGCATACTGGGCAATCAGCCCCTCCAAAATTAACAACGATGTTTAAAATGTTTTATTTTTTTCTCATTAAAAATATTTACAGATCTGGACTCTTCTCCCCCCCCCCTTTCCCTTTCGCCTCTACCCATCCTCAGGATGAGGGAAACGCAAAAAGGCGATTAGCAAATTCGTCCAAACCCCCCCAACCCCCCGGGCCTGGCTTGGCCGAGCGCGTGTGCAGGTGCATACAGTCGGGTGTAGAGGTGGGAGGGGAGGAGTGGAGGGCACCAGGAGTTGCTGGTGTCTCGCTCTAGCCGAAACTCCCTTTGCCGTCAACCCCATCCCAGAGCATCCCCTCCGGAACGGTTTTCAGTGCGCGTTTGGTTTGGTTTGTTAGAAAGCAGGTGATCTTGCTTGAGGAATGCCGATAAATACCCGAAACTAAACAAAGAGCAGGGCAGAGGCCATAAATAGGAGATAACGAATACACATGGTGTATTTCTTAACATTTCTGGCAACACGCCGCGGAGCTGTTGCGCGCGCGGGCGGGCGGGTGAGCGGTCAGTAGTCGAGCTTGTTGTAGAGACTGTAGAGCGGCAAGGCCGACAGGCTGCTGCCGGGGTAGTAGAGCGGCGCGGGGAAGGCGAGCGAGCGCGGCACCGGCACGCGCAGCAGCGAGCTGTCCCGGAACACGAGCGGCATGCCCACCAGAGTCTGCGCCGACGCGTGCGCCATGTTGGCCGCCTCCAGCTCGGCTGAGAGCTGCCGCTTCCACTTGTTGCGGCGGTTCTGGAACCAAGTCTTGACCTGCGTCTCGGTGAGCTGCAGGCTGGAGGCGAGGCAGGCGCGCTCCGAGCTGCTCAGGTAGCGCTTCATGTCGAAGGTGGACTCGAGCTGGTACACCTGGCTGCGCGAGAAGACCGTGCGCGTCTTCTTCTTGGCCGCGCCGGCCTGCCGCTCCGCACCGCCGTCCCGCGGCCGCTCGGGCCCTGGGGAGGGCGAGCCCGAGGGTAAGAACCTCTCTTTGTCTTCCTTCAAGTCCGGGTGCGAAGGAGAGAGGAAAGGCGTGCGCTCCGAGCCCGCCGGCCCTGCGCCGCCACTGCCCTTGGTGGTTCCTGAGGAGCGAGAACAGAAAGCAAGGCACGGAGTTGGGAAGGCTTGGAGAAGCCCAGCTGGATGCCAGAAGGCCGGCAGACGCCTGTAGCCTTGGGCTCCCGGCTTACAAACACCCCCTGCTCTCCTCCCTCTCGCTGACACCCAAGCCCAACTTCAGGCCTTTAAAGAAGCAACAGGAGAGCCGGCGGCTGCGGTCTGGGGGTCCCCGCGCTCCCAGCTTGATGGCCGCAAGGGGAGGAGGGCAGGAGGAGGACTGCGAACAGCGAATCTAAAGGCAAAGGCGCCCTGTGAGTACTGAGCTGCCAGGCGGCCCCAGCTTGACAGGGCGGCCTCATTTCACAGGCCGTTTGTTTGGAAATCGGGCGAAGGACAGGACTGTCTCTGAAACAAACCCGTGGCCAGCGCCGCCGTAAAAAAGCTAATCATTTGAGGAAAGAGAGAGAGAGAGAGAGAGAGAGAGAGAGAGAGAGAGAGAGAGAGAATGAGAATGGATATGAATGTAGAACGTGAGCAGAGCTGGTGTGTTTGCAAAGAAAGTGTTGGCTGTGCACAGGGATCCCCGTGCCCGGGGCCGCTGAGGTCCAGTCTCCTGCCAACCCAACCTTGCCCGACACCGAGTGCCATGGGGCCTGTGCTCTCAACTTCCTCCCCGCCGCCTGCAGGCCAGCTGACCCCGTGGCGCGCGGGCTCCCCTAGCTTGGCCCAAGCACCCCCAGCTGTTGCGGCTCTGACCCGCAGAGGTCGGACGCGGGAGTCGTGGCCGAACTCGCCGCCTGCCGCTCCTCGCCCTCTTTTCCCGGCCCGCGGGTGACGCGCGGTCCTTACCCAGGCAAGGAAAAGGGATGGAGGGGTGGTGCTTGGACCCCGGCTCCTTGGGACCGTGTGGGTCTGGGCAGAAGCAGGCCGGCGCCTTCCAGCCGTCGTCCGGCTCCTCCTCCTCCGAGGACACTGACAGGCTGCGCTTCCTGGCCGGCCAGCCAGCGGGCTCCCGCGGCGCCTCCGAAGGGCCCCCGCCCAGGATGGACTGGATGGTGAAGCTGGAGACGCCGCCGGCCACCGGACACCCTTTGCCCGCATCTTCTTTGCTGCCCATCCTGGGTTCATAAGAAATCGGAGGAAACCAAGAACTCCCTTTAGAGACGTTGCGGGTGGAAAGTGGTGCAGGCAGGCAGTGGGGAGGGGCGGGGAGGGAAGCCAGGGGGAGGGGGCGCCGAGGCCGGCGAGGCGTCCCTTCCGCGCGGGGGGACACGCGGGCACCGGACGTTTGGCGGGGGTCCCTGCCCGCCCGGCTCTGGGTGCACCCGCCCAGCCCGGGTGCGAATGCCCCTTCCTCGGCAGCGGGCGCCGCGGGTCTCGGGCAACGCGGAGGCGGCGCGGCCTCATTTGCATAGGGGTTACCGGAGCGCGGCCAATCGCAGCGCCGCCGAGCGGCCCCGGAAAATTTTAAAAAGGCCGGGCTGGGTGAGCGGCGCCCGTGCGCCCCCAGAGCGCGCAGAACGCCCGGCGAGCACCTGCCGTCCAACCTGGCGGCCCAGCCCCGGTCCCTGGCCGCAGCAGCGGCTCGAATCGCAGCCCTGTGCAGGGGCGAGCGCAGAGTCGGGGGGAGTCGGGAGCAGGAGGGGGTCCTCGCGCCTCGAGGGTCGGCGACGGGCTCCCCGCCCCTGCCCAGCCCTCCACCCTTCCAGCCCCGGGGGGGCGGTCGGCGAAGGGTTGGGTGAATGAAGGGCACGTGTGCCCAGACTAACTCTCTCGAAGCACGGCCGGTAGCGACCTGGCGCTCATGATGTCTGCCCACCCCGTGTGCATACCCTACTCTGCCACTGGCCCATCAGGAGGACACGGTCTTTCTGGCTGTGGCAGTGAAGCAGAAACCCCAGATCCGGAGTGTTGAGGTGCTGCCTCCAGTTTCAGCGTGGCCTTTAAGACACAGTGTGAGCTTGGACCAGTCCTCTGCCTTCGGGCAAGGC